TGGCGTAATAAGCAGATGCTTCAGCCAATACCTTTTGATTAGCCTTGTCTCATGCTTTCTTTCTTTATGGTAGATTTTTGTTCTGTTTTCACTGTTTTTTTTTCTTTGTTTTTTTTTCACTGTTTTCACTGAGATTTGAATTTGAATGCTAATCAATAAAATCAAATCAAAATCAAATCAAAAATCAAATCAAAATCAAAAAAGGATCTTGCGCTTTATTGTGAAAGGTTTATGTGGTAAATAAACAAGCGGACACGCTAACGACAACGCATAAAAACAGGCGCTTGTCCGTCCGTAGTGTGGTTATATTAAATATACGAGAAAGAGAGAACTTTAAGAAATGAATATAGCCACTACAGTGACCATCAAAACGATGAAGAAATATTGCCGTAAACAGTTTATTTTGCGACACCACAAAACAAACGATAGCGTAAAATGAAACGATAGATGTTTTTATATGGTCATCCGATATATATCATTATATCGAACAGCCCTATTATAGTAATGTGATTACTATCTTGTCTTTGGATGTATCTATTAAGACACTCTGGGACCAGCCTATTTATACACTTGAAGACTAATTTAACAAAACACAAATGATTGAAACTCTTAAAACTAAGTAAATTATATTTCATTAAAAGTTGTGATGCATAAAGTAATTAAAGTAGGAGTGGGTATCATCACTGATTTCTAGAATCAATTTGATTCAAAAGGTCCAGATTCGATTCGATACACGATTCGATTAGATTCAGTTTTGACTCAGACAGTCAGAAATATTATAATTCTGATCATTTATCAGTACTGACAGTTGTGAGACCTAATCAGAGGTGTAAGCATCATAGCAGATGCCTTTGTGCCAAAGTAACTGAGGATAAAACACAGAAAAACATGAAGGAGATTTTCCTGGCCTGGCTTTATATAGTAGATAACCTTAAAAATATTCTGCAGTAGAACAAAAACAGAAGAAAACAAAGAATCAACACATGAACATTACCTGATGGTGCTGAAGTGAAGCAGAACAAAGTTACAGAGGTTTTATTAGAGACGCAGCTAAGCATTTTGCAATTTGGCATAATTTTTAAAAAAGTTTAAATTTCTTTGGTATTGAACAGCAGAAATTAGGCTTTCTTGTTGGAAGTCATTTAAAAAAA